CTGTTATCAATTTCGGCTATGGCCGTGCACAGGGAAGTGATGCCAGGGAGGAACTTGGTGGAGTCAGATTCCGGGAGTTGGTCATGTGGTGAGACAAGTTATTGGGTCATCATCAAGCCCGACCACCGTGTCGCAAGCTTTTAAATTAAATTGGAGAGAGGGTGGTTTGGAAAGAGGTAAATAGCTTTTGGGATCAAGCCCTCTTTTAGCACATAATGATTTAGTGTTGACAAATGCGGTGACATATATAGGCCCAACTGTATTTATTTTGTGGTATGATTTGGGGAGCTGATTTCAACTCACAGAGATATGATTATGGAGTTGATGAGTAGGAAAATCATAAGGATTGAGAGCTTCTATCAGTTGGAGCATACTGTTGGTGATGCTTTATACAGATGGTTTAGACTACTTAGACATGGCATATGTAACTAATTAATGATGTTTATATATGTAAAGACTACTGTTTAAATACAAGCTCCACCGCCAACGCTACTGCTGTCCACTACCACCAGCGCCACCACTATATTTACAGGAACAAAAAAAAATTTTTTTTTTTTCAATTAAATTAACTTTGAATTCAAGATTATTTGCCAATTCATACATTCACTTGACCAGCTTTAAACTTGTTTATTAAATGAATAGATTTAGATTTGAATTATTTTAAATACATAATCCGTTTTTGACTCAACCTCACCCAAACTCCTGGGCATGTTTGAATATCAAATGAGAATACTAGTCTTGTACAACCCTTCCGAATTGTAATTTAAGACATATTTGGTAATTTTTCTCAAGTTAAAAGTTAATAATTAAAAAATAAAAATCTAAAAACATCCCTACATAGAAACATTTTTTAAAAACTTAATTATTTCTGTCTTAAAAAATTATAAGCAGAAGATGCATTAAAACACACTGGCACACCTTTCAACAGCCAAAGAAAAAAATTATAAGCACCTCACCACACAAAACCTTTGTGCAATCTGAGCTCTCAACTTTCTTGCAGCTCAACCCATGTAGATTGACAAAAATGATAACAAGTCTAGTCTTCAATGGGACAAAATAAAAGCCCTAACAACAGAATTTTGTGACAAATTATTTACGAACAGCATGGCATGAGGCTCCATCTTGGAGAAGTTCTAACCATGACAAACTGAGCATAAGTCGAGAAGGAAAACTTGAAGTCTGCATATAAAACCCCTGCATTCCGATACTAGTGTATATTCACAATTTTTACTTATGGTTGTAATGAAAAAACAGACAGGATATTACAATTTCAACCTTGTTGCTACAAGTTGCACCGGTAACCCTAACCCTAACCGTCTTGTATATCTATGAGTATAAGCTTGTTTTACAAGTGTTGTTAGTCTCTATTGGAGGTGTGGCCGAAGTGCGGACAACGGTCTCTGGTTCTCCTCGTGTCCACAGATTCTGGAGGTCACCTCTCTTTCTTCCAATGTCAAAAAGGTGCCTGCATCAATGACAAGCGATGGGGTTTTTTTAATTTTTTTAAAATATATTTTTTGTGTATATGTGTGTCGACCCTGTTTTACAATATTTTTTGTTAACACACAATATAGCAGTCTTACAAATATCTCTTAACCATTAAATAGCAGTTCAAGATATGATATTTGGCTACACTTCATTTTTAAACTTAATTCAAAATTAGGGTCTTTCACTTATTTCCAAATATCAAGAAAACGTGTTTAGTAATCACATTTTTTAGATCTTTCATGCTTTGTTAGATAATGAGAACTCATGATAAACTGTAATACTTGCCATGAGAAACGCTTGAGTGAAAACAAGACCCGACGATCCCCTGTGAAGGTGGATCTCCACCAAATACTGACACGAGAATCAAACCAAAATATGACTCTTTGGAGCTTGCTTTCAAGATATAAAATATGTCAAATATACTGCTATGGAACCTCATGGAAGCTAGTTGGGTCAATATAAATCTGAAGAAAATGGTCTGCGGACTATTCGGTTATGGTGCTTGTGGTTGAGCAAGTCATGTGTTTCATAAATGATATTGCTAAATACCTAGAGTAAAGGAACAATGTAAAGTAGAGCTGTTGGCCATGTCCATCCATCAGTTCAGAGCCATTATAGTGATGAGGAGACCGAGACCGGTAGACATAAGAATTTCCCAATAATGAATTTATAATATGTAGCATAAATATTACTAGAACACAGCATGGTGAATTCTATAAAACAAAGAGAGCACATTGCATTAGTTGTGGAAGACATGTCGATGTATAATATATATAATTATTTTGATCAGCAACCCAAAAAAAAAAAAAAATGTAATATAAATAATTACAAAATGCACAACTACTCTCCAATATAACCAAATCAAACCAAACCAAACCAAGCCTTAAGTCTCATAAAATGGGATCGGTTACATTAATCTTTCTTCTCCACTCAACTCTATTGAAGACCATTTCGTTAGTCAAATTAAAGAGACTCGTATTTCTATATACTACACTAGCACACATCAATCTAAGTCTGCCCCTTCCCCTAACACTTCCATTTACCATCACTGTATTGCATCTCTTCACTACTGCATTTGTTGGTCTCCTTTGTATATGACTAAACCATCTACATCTATTCTCTTTCAACTTATTTTTTATCGGTATTATTCCTACATATTCTCGAATATACTCATTCCTGACTTTGTCTTTTCTAGTCTTACCACACATCCACCTTAACATACTCATCTCAGCAATACTCATCTTACCTTACCACTCTCCAATATCTATAAATAAAAAGCAAGGGAATCTCGATAACACCCAAAAAGAGGGCAAGTAACAAACCTCTCAACCCCTCAAACCTAAAGATTCTATTGTTTCTCACCAAATCACCCAAACAATCGTACAGAGAACACAATTCCAAATAACTAAACCCTATCGATATTTTTGTTGTTCGTTAAGACGGTTAAAGATTTCTCCCCATACAACAAACTTGATGTATAGTTGAAAAATAGGTGAACAGTAAGAAGGAAACTATAATATCAATTGCCCAACAGATCTGTGTCCCCCTCCCCAATCCGCAGTCTTGCATCGTCTCTTCGTCTCTCCTTCCCCCCTTACAAGTTCCATAATTGGAACAAATTTGAATTTCTTAAACAACTCTGTCTCCACACGCACATTAATTTGCTATTCGAGTACAAAATCTAATCATAGCTCTGTTTGATTAGAAAGAAAAATTGTGAAAAATTTGCGAAAAGTTGAAAGTGGTAGAAGGTGCAAGGAAAGAAAAGAAACGGAAAGGAAAATTATAAGTAACACTTTGCATGGACAAATTTAACTTTTTTTGTGTTTCTTGTATTTTTGGCAAGAAATTAAAGACTCGGTTACCATGCTAATATACGTTGTACATGAAAATTTATTTTATTGTAGTTTCCACCACTTCCATACTAAACAAACTCAGAAAGGGTTCCATTTTTTCTCTTCCCCTCACTTTCATTCTAATCAAACTCAGCCTAAGAAATCCCATTCTTTTATTTGCAATAACTTAACCGCATAAACAGACGCACAGTGATGCACTTCTAACACCAAGCAGAAAATAAGAGAGAATAAATTTGCCGATTCCCACACATAGATTAGTTGTTCGTACCTAACCCATAAGCAATCATTGCCCATAAAAAGTATCCACGCCGAAGATTCTTCTTTGACAGCCAATCATACCTGCAAGGATCAAACAATTTGAGCTTATGATCCACAAATGACTTGCCAATATGGTATAAATTGCATCCATCTTTCACCTTGTTTTAAGGAATGAAACTTGAAAATGAAGAACGTGGAAAAGAATCGAGAAAAATATATTATTCTGAACCTCACTCAATGCTTCACTGAGTGAAAAGGTACAACGCCCAAGTATTACAGCCTAAAATGTTGCGAAATTCACCAACCTTTATACACTATTAGTACTGCATTCACTGTATTTAGCATAATATATAGGTTTATATATGTATATACATATAAAAATAAACACGTGGTGTTTACAATGAAATAAATATCAATGTAACAAAAAATTATATATGTATATACATACAAAATCACGTATATGAACATAATTAATTGATTTCTTTTTTATTTTGCGAAAACGACATCATTTCTTGCATTATGCAAATAGAATGGAATCGTAGTGAATCGAAATGACTCTTAGTGAACCGTTGTGAATCACAATTGAATCATACAATTTACTCAAGATTCAACAGCACGATACAAATCATTTTGGTTGGAAACTCGTATCCAATCATGAATCGCGCGATTCTAACCACCATGGTAGTAGGGTCTGTACAAACTACTAAGGAGTAACGACAAGTTAAATTACAATAAGCCAATGATGCATTTTCAGTAGAGTCAAAGAGGACAATAGTCATCATGGCTGGATTGCTCAAACCTTACTGAAAATGCTACTAGCAGTCCTGGTACGATAATGTCACCAAATCCAATGACGCTGTAGCCACCCCAAGGATCAAACATTCGAGGGATCTTTAGCAGCATCGGTATGCCATCTTCTCCAATCTTATCACCCCGAGCAACCTGTATGAAAAAGAAAAGCAGTTTTCATTTTAAACAATGGCCCTTTATCAAGTGAACTGTTATTTCATCATGATTTGAAGAAATACTTACCACAATCATGACACTCTCTTGGAACCACAATTTAGAAACAAACACCCAAAAAATGTCATACAAGAAAGCGCAACTGAGAAGAACAGTTCCAACCTGATTGCATCAAGAAGAATGAGAGATCATCTTAATTACATCAATTGAGAAGCAATAAGCCTCTCAGCATGAATGGAAATAAATATTAAAAAAAAAAAATACTAGTTCTAACCATTTGCATTCCTCTGAGCCAAAATATTGACATATAATAAAACTGATTTCCTGAAGCATTCAAATGCAGCAATGAAAGCGATTTTATAGGAATTAATATTTGCCATTGACTTATTAAACATGAATAACAAATTAGCAGGAGGAAGAAATGCATAGCTTTTACTTCTCAACCAATTCCAAATTTGTAAAATTGCACCTTGCAAAAATTTAAATTGATTTTTTGAGGATCAATATCAAATACAGATCTGAAGAGGAAATTTTAGAAAGGTACATAATTACATACAGATCCTCAAGAGAAGCATCAATATCTAAACATACAAAATGTTAATCTTTTTACAAACATGTAAAATTTCAAACATAGAAAGATTTGAAAGTTAATAACTGATTAAGATTATTTTCATTTATAAAATATGAAATCTCCCTAATAAATCAGTTATAATTTCTGTCACAAAAACTTTTGCATACAAGAATTTCAATTTGGCCAATTTATGGTTCATACCTGCAATAAAATCAGGTATCTGTTTGTCACTCCATTCTATTTATTACTCTGATTCACTAGCTGAGGAATGTTAGTGTCAACTATCTCTTTCAGATACGTGTTTTTTAAGTTTTGAGGATCATTTTATTTCTAGAATGCAATTGCCAAGCATTTAATGCTGCAATATCAACAGTGGTTAGTTTATGAACATTTTCCTGTCTTCATTAAGACTCAAACATCCTTAGTGTTAATAATTTGCTTCAGGACTGCTACATTGAATTTTTCTTTGATTAGTTTCAGTCAATAACTAGAATTTGATTTTTTTTTCAGTCAATAAGTCCTATTCTTTAGGATATTGTTAGTGTTATCAGAAATCTTGGTTTGTTACCATAATTTTTGGGATTCATTATCTTTTCAGTTTAGATATTCTTACTATAAATGTAATGCACCAGTATGAATGAAAATGATCACTCTTTGCTACATCATATCAGCTTTTATCATTTCCTGTTTTTTATTCTTTCATTTCATTCAATTTCTATTCTTCATTTTTTCTGTTTTTCTTCTCTTCTCAAAAACTAACATTTGGTATCAGAGTTTCATTCTTACGGGACCTGTGAGTATCCATGGAAGCAAAAACTGATTTTCCTAATTTTTCTCAAGCTGCTCCACATATTTTTGATGGAGAAAATTACCAACTTTGGGCTGTTAGAATGGAAACTTATTTGGAGGCTTTGGATCTATGGGAAGCCGTCGAAGAAGATTACGAAGTTGCTCCGCTGCCAAACAATCCGACGGTAGCTCAGATGAAAAGCCACAAAGAGAAGAAGACCAGAAAATCAAAGGCCAAAGCAGCGTTGTTTGCTGGTGTTTCAACAACAATTCTCACGAAAATCATGAATCTCAAATCAGCAAAAGAAATCTGGGAGCATCTGAAGACGGAATATGTAGGAGATGAAAGAATACGAGGAATGCAAGCACTCAATCTAATAAGGGGATTTGAGCTGCAAAAGATGAAAGATGCTGAGACAATCAAAGAATATTCAGACAGATTGCTTGGCATTGCCAACAAGGTAAGGCTTCTTGGCACTAAATTTGATGATTCAAGAATTGTTGAAAAAATTCTTGTTACGGTGCCTGAAAAATATGAAGCCTCAATAACCACCTTGGAAAATACTAAAGATCTGTCCAAGATCACCTTGGCAGAATTATTGAATGCTTTGCAGGCTCAAGAACAAAGGAGACTTATGAGACAAGAGTGTACCGTAGAAGGAGCCTTGTCAGTCAAACACCAACATGAAAGTTCTGGGAGTAGTTCAAGCAGTCGCACTCGAAACAAAGGTGGAAGCTCAAGGAGAAATTTCCCACCTTGTGAACACTGTGGCAAAATGGGTCATTCTCCATTCAAGTGTTAGAAGAGGCCTGATGCAAAGTGTAGCAAGTGCAATCAGCTTGGACATGAAGCTGTGATTTGCAAAAGCAAATCTCAAGAACCAGAGGAAGAAGTCCATGTAGCTGATCAAGATGAAGAAGATCAGATGTTTGTGGCAACGTGTTTCTCTACAAAGGTCTCCTCAGAAAGTTGGCTCATTGACAGTGGTTGTACAAACCATATGACCTTTGACAAAACTCTTTTTAAGGAGTTAAAGGCTACTGCAATGACTAGAGTCAGGATAGGGAATGGTGGTTATATCCTTGCAAAAGGAAAAGGAACCATTGCAATGACAACCAGTTCAGGTACAAAAACTATTTCAGATGTTCTTTATGTACCCGATATTGATCAAAATCTGCTGAGTGTTGGCCAGTTAATTGAAAAAGGATTTAAGGTGTCCTTTGAAGACTTGTATTGTCACATCTACGATGCCGTTGGAAAGGAGATTTTACGTGTCAAAATGAAAGGGAAAAGCTTCTTATTTGATCCTACAGAGGAGGAGCACACAGCTTATTCCACCAATGTCAACATCACTGAAGTCTGGCACAAAAGGCTTGGGCATTGTCATCTTCAACGAATGCTCAAGATGAAGAAAGATGAAGTGACAAGAGGATTACCAGTTCTGGTTGATCACTTGCCAAATTGTCATGTTTGTCAATTTGGTAAACAAAGTAGGAAACCATTTCCTAAATCATCCTGGAGAGCAACACAGAAGCTGCAACTAGTTCATATAGATGTGGGAGGACCTCAAAGAACACCATCTCTTCAAGGTAGCCGGTATTACATTCTTTTCATTGATGATTTTACAAGAATGTGTTGGATTTATTTCCTAAAGTTCAAGTCTGAAGTTGCTGGAGTATTCTGGAAGTTTAAAAAATTGGTGGAAAATTCAAGCGGTTGCAAAATTCAAATCTTAAGGTCTGATAATGGAAAAGAGTACACTTCTGCAGAATTTAACCTGTTTTGTGATGAAGCTGGCATAGAACATTAGCTCACTGCTCCTTACACTCCACAGCAAAATGGAGTGAGTGAAAGGAAGAACAGATATGTCATGGAGATGGCTAGATGCATGCTGCATGAGAAGGGGTTGTCAAAAAATTTCTGGGCAGAGGCAGCCAATACTGCAATATTTCTGCAAAATCAACTTCCAAGTGCAGCCGTTGAAGACAAAACTCCATTTGAAGCTTGGTATGGGTATGTACCTTCACTAAGTTTTCTTAAAGTATTTGGTTGTTTGTGTTTTGTCCATGTTCCACAGGTTAAGAGAGACAAGCTTGACAAAAAAGCAATTCCAGGTATCTTTGTTGGCTATAGCACAATTTCTAAAGCCTACAAAGTATATCATCCTCAAACAAGAAAAATGGTGATAACTAGAGATGTTCACTTCAATGAGGATGAGCAATGGGACTGGGAAAATTCACAAGAAACTAACAGACCTTCAGAAGAATTTAGAAGCAATTCTTTTGAGGAGGAGGCAACAGACCAGTGGGAAAATAAATTGGTAGATGATCCATCAGTTAGAGGAACAAGATCACTTTCAGACATCTATCAAAGATGTAATGTAGCATTATGTGAACCTGCTGATCATGAAGAAGCTCTTAAAGACCCGAAGTGGAAGAAAGCAATGGAGGAGGAGATGTCAATGATTCACAAAAACAAAACCTGGGAATTAGTCAACAAACCAGAAGGCAGAAGGATCATTGGAGTAAAGTGGGTGTACCGAACGAAGCTAAATGCTGATAACTCCATCAACAAACACAAAGCAAGGCTCGTCGTCAAGGGCTATGCTCAAATTTTTGGTGTTGATTATTCTGAAACGTTTGCTCCTGTTGCTAGACTAGACACTATCAGGTTGTTGTTAGCCTTATCAGCACAAAAAGGCTGGAAAGTGTTTCAACTAGATGTCAAATCAGCTTTTCTAAATGGTGTTCTACAAGAAGAAATTTATGTGGAACAACCAGAGGGTTTTGTTGTGCAAGGTGAAGAGGATAAGGTCTATTTGCTCAAAAAGGCTCTTTACGGCCTAAAGCAAGTTCCAAAAGCTTGGTACAGCAGGATTGATGAACATTTGCTAAGCTTAGGCTTCACAAAAAGCTTATCTAAAGCTACTATTTATGTTAAACAAAAGGGTAGTTATGTTCTTATTGTATCTCTTTATGTTGATGACCTTTTGGTAATAGGAGATAATGCACAGATGATTGAGGAGTTCAAACAAGAAATGATGCAGGTCTTTGAGATGACAGATCTTGGTCTTATGACTTACTTTCTTGGCTTGGAGGTCCAGCAAAGCCAAAATGAAGTTTTCATCTGTCAGAAGAAGTGTTAGAATTTACCTACACCTACCACCACCTACTACCACACCTACTACACCTACCACCAATTTACCCTCATCTACTCCTCACCTACTACCCAAACCCTCTCCTATATAATGAGTTACTCTGCTTTGTAATAGAACATATCAATAAATCAATAATACATAAATTACATAAATTCTTACATGGTATCAGAGCTTGGTTAAAGATTTTGGTGTTCTTCGCCTTCCGGCGGGCGGCAACCTTGCCTTGACCGCCCGCCGGATCTCAACCAATTCAAACCTCCCTGTCCCTCTCGGCACCTCACTTTCTCTAACAGAATCAAAAAAATTAATATACATAAATTACATAAATTGTTACATGGTATCAGAGCTTGGTTAAAGATTTTGGTGTTCTTCGCCTTCCGGCGGGCGGCAACCTTGCCTTGACCGCCCGCCGGATCTCAACCAATTCAAACCTCCCTGTCCCTCTCGGCACCTCACTTTCTCTCTCTCCAAACACCCAATTCAGATCCCAAGAAGAAGACTAAGAAGAAGCTCAATAGGAGCCGTTGCTATATGTTTTTTTCCTTCATCATCAAGCTCGAGCCGAGGCAGCTGCCTTAAGAACGGGTTCATGTCATCCATTTCTCTCTGATAATCTGTTGGCGGAGTTCATCTCAACCCTAATC